AACAAGTCTTGTGTTTTGTTAAAAGGGCCATTAAGTCATTAGTTTGCGTTGGAGTGAGATATGGACTCAAAGTGGCTTTAAGCGCATTAGATGAGCCTCCTGGTGGCGTACACTTAGCGACTGATGGCGGAGACGATACAGTGACGACACATACCGGTGCTATGTCGATAAGGCTGGCAACAGTGGACCCCTCTGGCAGTAGTTGTGGCTCTGTTGTCGTGTTGTAGGCGGTGAGACTGGCATGACCACGCGAAAACCGCACTAGACAACATGCGATGGCGATTCCTCGGAAAATGCAGCGCTGATCGGGGACAACCACTGCGTCACCGTCAATGGTATCGCTGGATCTAATGGTGAGGATACGTTCTTGGGCCGGGGGCAGTACAAAGTCTGCAGCTGCAACAAGGTGAGGCGACGAAAAATCGTAAGCACTAGAATTTTCAGTGTCCGTAATGCGAATAACGGGCGGACCACACGAAATGACAGCGGAAGCGGCTGACAGGAAGTCCCAGCCCAATATAATCGGATGAGCACATGAAGAAAGCACAGCCAATTGTATATGGTGACGAATTCCGTCGATCAGAACACGAACAGTGCATTGTCCAATAGGGTAAATTCTATTTTCATTAGCACCACATAACACCGGACCAACATATGGAGTTTGCACTTTTCGTAGACGATGACATAGTTCGCGATCAATGACCGAAATGGCTGCTCCAGTGTCCACGAGTGCGTCAACCGAAATGCCTTCTACACAAACAGTTAGTAAATTTGCAGGGCGCGCAGGAGGAATTGGGACAATTCGACGACAGGCAGTTTCTCCTCCAAAAACTGCAGCTGCTAGTTTTCCGAGTGGCTGTCGAGGGGCATCAGGGCAGAACGTAAAGGCGAAGTAGTACGGCGGAAGGGCGATGGTGAACGACGGCGGGGTGAGCGGGAAGAACGAGGTTCACCGTGGGACAAAGGAGGCGAAGGCGAACGTCGTGACGAGGGAATGTAGGTTCCTGGAACGTAGGGGTCAGACCTCGCAGCCCGGTCACTCTCGTACGAAGAATAACCTCGTCGTTCATCTTGCTGGCGCCGACGGCAAAAGCGGGAGATATGTCCTCTTATGCCACAGTAGTAACAGACGGGGCGCGTAGGGCGCCAGGCAGGGAAGTGTGGTTGTGGTGGTGCCTTGGCTGCCATCGCAGCCAAATGGTCGTATACGACGTCCGTAGTTACAGGTGGAGTAGGTGGAGGAGGCCGTGACACGACTTCGGCATACGTAGGCACATGTAAGGGCACAGGAGGCGGGGCACGTGCGACGCTCGCCATCGACGCCAATTCGTCCTTTATAATTTCCCGCAGGTTAGGAGGGGGTGAGCGGGCAGGTGAAGTCGGTGCGCTGGCAGGAACAAGGCTGTGAAGTTCCTCTCTCACTATGGTGCGAATTAGAGCTCGCAGCTCATGCTCGCCAGTAAGACGAGTGTCATAGGAGGCGTGTGGAAGGCGCATTGAGTAAAGTGCGTCCAGGCGCTGGCAGGTGGTAATAATGTCCTGAACTGTTGTCGGGCTCTGCATGACAAGAGCATTAAAGGCGACGGAGTTGATGCCTTTCATTACTTGCCGAATACGATCGGCCTCCGGCATGTCCTTTTGGGCGCGGCGGCAGAGGGCCAGAACGTCTTCAATATACGATGTGTACGATTCGTCAGGCCCCTGGATGCGGGTAGCGAGCTTCTGTTTAGCTACCTCAGAGCGTCCTGTAGAAGTGCCGAATATTTGACGCAGCTGCACCGTGAATGCTGACCAATCAGGAAAGTCGCGTTCGTGGTTATGATACCACGTCTTAGCAACCTCCTTCAGATAAAAGGGTACATAGCGCAGCTTATGTGCCTCATCCCAGTAATTGCAAGCACTGGTACGGTCGTAACTGTCCAGCCATTCTTCTACGTCCTCACCGCGAAGGCCAGAAAACACTGGAGGGTCTCGTTGCGAGGTACTCACGGTGTGGTGAGGCCCAGCAGGCTGAGCGGGTGGTGCGAAGAAGGCGGTAGGGGGTGGGTCGTTTTGCGCCATCACTGTTGGCAAGCAGAGCCGTCGACCTGATCGGAGCTCCAGGGGTGACCGGTAGTGCACGAGGACTTGGGAATCACAGCACGCTCCACCACTTGTGAGACGACGTCAGGTACGAAGGAGCGACCGTTTTATTGTCAACCCAGACGCGCGAGCCAGCAACCGAACAAGCAGCGAGCCGCTACGATGATGATGATCACGGTGCTTTGTATGCGCAGGTGAAAGTGAAAATGATGAGCAACACAATCAGCGCTCACAATATATATATATATATATATATATATATATATATATAGGCAGGCATGGTGGTTGAGTGGCCGTAGCGTTGCATATAGTCCAGTAGATCCTGATGAAGGCCAGACTCTAGGCCGAAACGTCGAAATAAACCACGTTGTGACCGCTCACGGAGGATCTACTGGACTATATATATAAGGGAAAGAAGTGTATACCTAAGGGCTCGTTTTTTCGTGTTTTAACACAATATTATTGAGATATTCCTGCTCACGGCTGGCTATTTTTTCACCCCATTTTCTTTCTTATTTACATTCCATTGGTTCTAATAACTTCTCCTGTACATCCCGTGGCATTACTGTCTGGTAGATCTCATTATATATATATATATATATATATATATATATATATATATATATATATATATATATATGTATATATATATATATAGATATATATATATATATATATATATACATATATATATATATATATATATATATATATATATATATATATATATATATATATATATATATATATATATATATATATATATATATATATATATATATATATATATATATATAGCGAGAGAGGAAGACGAGACTGCGGCCAACGTGGTCGTGTCGTTCTCTCGCCACTTTATTCCCTGGCTGAAGCGGCGCCACGCCGCTTTTCACGTCCGACACACCAAGTGCGCTAGCTTGTTCTAATCCTCGCGCCGCTCGAGCTAACATCAGCTGCACGAGAGGCGCGGCGTGGTGATCAAGAAAATGATGATGGTGATGATGGCACCACATATATATTGCTGAAACAGCAGCTACTGATATGTCTGCCTAAAAATCGCCTTTCATAAAGGAGTATATACACAGACGGATGTTCAGCATTTCAGAATAAATGTTGCTTTAAAACGATGATGATAGACTGATAAAAGCGATTTGACTGGGAAGAAATAAACGGCATCTACCCTTCAACTTTTTTCGAAGTTTCGAGACGACTTCAGCGGCTATGGCTTACGTGTTCTACGTTCTGGCCAAGTACCAAGATGTACAAGAAAAGGTTAGAGCGGACGTCGCTTCTGCAGTCCAAGAATATGTGAGTGCATTATTATCTTTCAGTGCACACCCCATTGTGAATAAGCAGAATGTACACGTTTTTTGAAAAACAGTGCGCTTGATTTCTGTGTTGATATTTTGTATTTAAAGGCACAAATTTCTAAGTTGCAATTTGTGTGTGTGTGTGTGTGTGTGTGTGTGTGTCTGTGTGTGCGTGCGTGCGCACGTACCCGTACGCGCGCACAGAAACGCTTGGGCAGACACATTCACTGATTGATGACTCTAAGCATTTCATATTACCACGTAAAAACCACCAAAACAATCGCTCATATTCCCAAACTGACGGCGCCTATGAGCCAAAAATAAAATCGTGTATGCATACATATATGTGCATAAAAAGAAAAGTTTCTGCAAAAACAGCATCGCAGTGTATCAAAATCACCTTTCTATACTTACCCGTTGAAGCTATCTGATTTGAAATCCAGTTACAGTGAGCTAATGTTTGTTGTTTGAGAAAACTCAACTTAGAGGTTCGAATAATCATTTCGTTACATTAACCCAGTACAAATTCTCATTACAGGGGAAGATTAATTACGACGCCATCACGTCCCGAATGAAGTACTTAAGGAGCGTTCTTGATGAAACATTAAGGATCTACCCACCAGGCACAGCGTGAGTACCCTGCTAACACTAAATGCAGCATAAAACAAGTGTCCTTTATTTCACCCTGGTAAATAATTTACAAGCTAAAGTGTCTCGTCCATTCGACTTCAACAGCTTGTCTATAGGCTAGATAGGCTTCGGCCCTGCTAACCCTTTCTAGCTATGTTTCCTTTTCAAATGTTCAAACTTCGACGAAGCATACTTACTTGCATATATGCCACCTGGTTTTGTGAGCCAGCTTGTGCGCAGTCCGCCCAAGACTGTGTCAGAATTTCTCCCAGAAGTCGTCACCAGCGAAAGCACTCTTAGGCACCGGGCCTCGTCGTATGAACGGCACGTCAACAATTCACCTATACGGACTACACGGGAGCTTTTGTTGGCCATATGACTTTCTTCCGAGAGCTCATATGCTCAGTGATTCGGGAAGAACTTCAGAAGCTGTGCATGCCCTCGCAGCCTATGATCTTTTCGTTGTCCAGCGTTTTCCAAGATGAAGTCCAACATGCCTTAAGATTACCGCCTTTTATGCTGGATTATAAACCACCCAGTGACTTCCCCCCAAATCGTATGCTCAAGCTTTGGGGCTATCGGTTACACCTGCGATTCCGCATTCTACCGTAGTCTAAGCCATGCCGCAGACGGTCCAAGCGGCCACGTATTACGACGCACCTCATCTGGCCTCGCGGTAATCAGGCATCTGGCGTGCATCAGATCAACGTTTTCTCTGCTTTCACTGAAGTGAAGCTGAGCATCTCTATCAAAATTGTTCTTACCGACAACTTGGACTACGCGGATTTTCGGCGAACTCACCGCCACCCAGATTTGATCAGCGGCCCCCGGAAATTGAAGATCATGTGGCGCAGCAGTGAGGAACTTTGTCATCCTTGAACCAGTCAAGCTACCCATCAATGGGGTGCTAGTGTCTCATTGTGTATGAGCATCAGGTCGATGCTCTAATGGGTGGATTGATGTGATGATTGACGTTAGCCGCCACCCTTTAGATCGGGGGGTGGCTAACGCCAACTAGCCGTAATACTTAGTGAACCAGCAACAACATTCATCTTTTTTTTAAATTCGTGAAGTATAGGACTGGTACTTCGCAGTAAATGGTTTAATTTTCACTCGTGCCTTGACTTCAGCCACCAATCAGATAATCTCCTTCTAGTTAATTCTACCCGCTTAAATCAATTTCACCCTACCTGTCCCTAAACACCAGTGCTTAGAAAAACTATGCGCCATACTCCTAAACTATGGGGTGAAGCCCTTTACAGAACATCATCAAGTGTTCGGCAGTTTCTTGTTCCTCTCCGCATGCCACCTGGTGTTGTGAACCGACAAGCCGTGGCCAGCCAAAATGGGCGAAGAGGAGAAATACAAAGTGTGTTGGCCTCTCCGTTCACAATTACACATCGTTGTCTTTCTGTCTCTACGGCCTATATTGCGTGACAATGTGTGCTCGAAAACTGCAACCAGAACCTTACAACTATAATATAAAAAAGTCACAGCTTTGCCGCAAAGTCGAAGCTGTGAACGCGATAGCAACAAATTGAAAGGTCACGCGAAGAAAGGAATGCACATCTAAACGTTGCCCGCGTTTCTTACGCCAAAATGATGCACGAAGCGTACTCGCACGTACGAATGCACTCGAATGAGGGTCTCATTTGTTACTTCGTTGTGTCTGAAAAACGCGTGCTTTTCGCAAACGAAGGCTGTAATGATTGCAGTGACCTTTGTGCGCCTGGTTACTACTGTACAATCCTTCCAGGTGAAGCCCGAGGCCAGCCAAGGCGTACGATTCTCCCGTCCTCGCCACCACGAGATAAGGGTGCGCAAGGGAGCGTCACTCCCCTTCTCTAAGCCGGGAAAAGTACGCGTAGGAGATTAGAGTGGGCACCGCCGCGCAATGTGGTGACGAACGCTCATTGCGCCATCTTGCTGATAATGCTGAAAACACAATTCCCCTCAAGATGCTCGTGAGCAGCGGTAAGTGGTAGATATGTATAGCTTGCCATTTGAACAGTGAGAACGTACTCCGGGGTGGCTCAGTGGTTAACGCCTTGCTTTCACGACGGAGAGGTCCCACGTTTGATTCCGCGTGCCAGAGTGTTTTTTTTCTGGATTTATTTTCTTTCTTGCGTTTTGATATATATAGATACGTAACATATATGGTGCATGACATCAACGCCGACGTTGATGCCAGTGGCAAAATCCAGCCGAGAGTGTTCCCATAACTGCTATCCCAATAAAATAAATATGTGTTAGCTTCGTCATGGCCCATTTGTCATATGCAGCAAAGCGTACAAAAATTAGAAGAGGCCATTTTGACAATAATTATTGGGCTTAAAAACTCTCTCATTTGGACGTACGGGTTTACCGGACACCTTTAAATAAGGTCACGGACCCCTTGGGTTCAACGGAAATTCTTTTCTGAACATCTGGTCTTGCTCACGTTAACATTGACTCATCGTACTAAATGAACCAATGGCTCACTTTTCATCGGGATTACATTGGCGTGTTCTATGACAGTAAGTGATAATTCTGTCACCTGCAGAATTATCATGTGGGGAAATGCATACGTTCATTACGTGGCACAGCAAAGTCAAGTATTCTGTGTAGTGTGCGAAAAGATGGATGCAAAATACAACCTTGGGTCGCATTCTAATATTACCTGGAGCCCCACCGAACCCTTCTTGTTTGATGATGGTAGTTGCGGGCTTCATCAACCCCGCAACACTAAGCCAGCGTATCTCGCTATTCACACCCTTTGTAGAGTAGTGTTTACGACGTGGTGCCTGTTTCATCATCATCATCATCATCATCATCATCAGCCTGACTACGTCCACTGCAGGACAAAGGCCTCTCCCATGTTCCGCCAGTTAACCCGGTCCTGTGCTTGCTGCTGCCAATTTATACCCGCAAACTTCTTAATCTCATCTGCCCACCTAACCTTCTGTCTCCCCCTAACCCGCTTCCCTTCTCTGGGAATCCAGTTAGTTACCCTTAATGACCAGCGGTTATCCTGTCCACGCGCTACATGCCCGGCCCATGTCCATTTCCTCTTCTTTATTTCAACTATGATATCCTTAACCCCCGTTTGTCCCCTAATCCACTCTGCTCTCTTCTTGTCTCTTAAGGTTACACCTACCATTTTTCTTTCCATCGCTCGCTGCGTCGTCCTCAATTTAGGCTGAACCCTCTTTGTAAGTCTCCAGGTTTCTGCTCCGTAGCTAAGTACCGGCAAGATACAGCTGTTATATACCTTCCTCTTCAGGGATAGTGGCAATCTACATGTCATAATTTGAGAGTGCTTGCCGAATGTGCTCCACCCCATTCTTATCCTTCTAGTTACTTCAATCTCGTGGTTCGGCTCTGCGGTTATTACCTGCCCTAAGTAGACATAGTCTTTTACAACTTCAAGTGCACTATTACCTATCTCGAAGCGCTGCTCCTTTCCGAGGTTGTTGTACATTACTTTAGTTTTCTGCAGATTAATTTTAGGACCCACCTTTCTGCTCTCCTTGTCTAACTCCGTAATCATGAGTTGCAGTTCGTCTCCTGAGTTACTCAGCAATGCAATGTCATTCGCGAAGCGCAGGTTACTAAGGGATTCTCCATTAACTCTTATCCCTAACTGTTCCCATTCTAGGCTTCTGAAAACCTCCTGTAAGCACGCGGTAAATAGCATTGGGGAGATTGTGTCCCCCTGCCTTACACCCTTATTGATTGGTATTCTGTTGCTTTCTTTATGAAGCACTATGGCAGCAGTTGATCCCCTGTAGATTTCTTCCAGAGTGTTTATATATACTTCATCTACGCCCTGATTCCGCAGTGTCTGCATGACGGCTGATATTTCTACTGAATCAAACGCCTTCTCGTAATCTATGAAGGCTATGTATAGTGGTTGGTTATACTCTGAGCATTTCTCTATTACCTGATTTATAGTATGAATGTGGTCAATTGTTAAGTAGCCTGTTTGAAATCCTGCTTGTTCCTTTGGTTGATTGAATTCTAATGTTTTCTTTACTCTGTTAGCAATTACCTTTGTAAATAGCTTGTATACTACAGAGAGCAAGCTCATCGGCCTGTAATTCTTCAAGTTCATAATACGTAAGAAAGGAGCTGACAAGGACTTGAAGAATAACAGGTGCCTGTTTAAGCCACGCTTAACCATTCCTTTTTCAATTTTTATCCGGAATCACTTGATGCACCATAAATTCACAAACTATAAGCTTTACGTAGCAGTTTAAAACACACATATGATGGCCATAAAACAATAAGCCAACAATCTGACAAATATGTTGAGACAATAAACAAAATCCAGTCTTATATGAGGAAGTCACAAATGACTGCTTTTTCATATGAAGAAGTGCCTGAAATATGGCGCAGTACCAAGCAGTTAAAATTAACTGTTAAATTTAGTTGAAAATACTGTAAAAAGTGAAACTGAACGAGCCCCGATATTTCAGTTTACGACCGGGCGGGATACCAGAAGCTAAGTGCAATGGAATAGCCTGACCTGTATACGCAACTAAATGAACAAGAATCATTATTGTAGATAACGATACCAATCTTCTCTTGCCCGGTATAAAAGTCCTGATATAAAACTGATCTGTGAAATGTTCTGTCCTTGCACTCCTCCCTGCCCAGGTTTACCACAAGACGTGCCATCAACGACTTTGAATACAACGGCGTTAAGTACAAGGCCGGTACTTCGATCATGGCTCCGACTTTCAACATTCACATGGACCCCCGCTACTGGCCCGAACCCAACAAGTTTGATCCCGAGAGGTACGAGTATATATTGACAGAATTCGATTAAAATTACACACCGCTGTAGTTCAGAAGCTCTGACGTTAAGCACCTGAACTCGACCTTACGGGGGAGACATTTTGATGGGGGAAAACAGAAATTCTAGTGCACTGAGATACTGCAGTCACTTGCCAACTCGAAGCGATGAAAGCTGAATCAAAGATCAGTATTAATAATCGAATCAGTCCCAGTTGTGCCCACCGTCTGGCGGCACCCCAAGATGGTTGGCCTCTCATCAGCGTTTTTTTTTTCTGCCACGCAGCTCATAATAAACATTGTATATTATTTCATTAGCACTTTACTGGCGATGAAATCAGGTTTCCGCATTATGTTCAATTTATTGTGTCCGAACTTACCAACAAAATCTAAAGCAGTTTTAGTCACATAAACACGCTGTTTTCCCAATCTATTATTTATTTAATGTTCGAATATACTTAGAGTTCCCGGATTCTTCCTGTTGTTGTGCTTTCAGTGTTGACGTACGTGATGTTGTAAGCGTACAGCATCAGTACAGCTTGCTTCTACAGCTTGCTTCTTGGCCCTGGCCCAGAGTGCAAATGAAGCCAGGCTGTCCTATACTATCATATACTGTCATCTCACGTCGTCGCTTGGCATCGCCCAGGACTGCAGTACAGCAAGGGGTGATAAGTAGAAGTGAGAGAATGATGAAAGGTTTAGTTGAAGGAAAAGGTGGAGCCTAAAACATAGAAATGTGAGGCGTAACGCAGGCATAATCGTATGTATACAAGCCCAGCCATGTATATTGAGTATAGAAAGTGGTGGGAAAGGAATTTAAAGGGAGCACTACGAATTTAGGTGGTGGGAAAAGAATTTCAAGGAAGCCCTCATTTACAACACTTTAATGCCCATCACTTATCTGTCAATGCAGGTTTTTCGACGAAAACGTAGCGTCGAGAGCGTGCATCGCCTACCAACCTTTTGGTGCTGGACCAAGAAACTGCGTCGGAGAGCGCATGGCGATTTTAGCGATTACGTACACAGTGGCGAGAGTGGTACAGAAGTACAGGTTGACCCTAGGAGAGTCTCAGAAGGTATCAAAACGTCTTCTTTTTTTTCTTTCAAACTTCATCATAGGCTGGCTAAGCTTCACTTATTACTGGCTAGCTATGCTGGCTATACCGGTTACCCTGGGCGTAGGTCTCTTTCGCGCCAAATTCAGGCAGCATTGCCGAGCTTGCGGTGGGATTAAGGATGTCGGAATCTGAATTGCGCGCATCAACAGTACAAAAAAAGTCTGACATCGTGGCCCGAAGTCGCTATTAGAACAACGTCCAAATCCGGGCCAGTTCGTGATTCATAGCCATAACATACTGATAGGTGCTTAGGAAAGGAGCACTATAGCGGGTTTGTAGTAGTAATTATCATGTCCATGTTCTTCCTTTATTTCTAGTCCTAAGTGCGCTACTTTGCCGTATCGTTTGTAAGTGTATTTACGGATGGTTCATTTCATCCCATAATTATACTTGTATGCCAACAGTATTGGTGACAGCCTGCATACGCTTCACCAATGAGGCTTCATTAGGCTTATTTTTCTTGCTTCCGGCATGTTGCTCCTTCACGCTGCGGAACCGACTGAATGTGATAATACGTTGCGAAACGCTCCGAGCTGCTGCCGCTTCGATGCCCGTCAAACGCGGCACAATTACTAACTTTCAGCTGCATCGAATGACGACCGGCGAGGATGATGTGTACGTGGGGGTGAGAGTTGATTTTATTTATTGGCTCACCCTAACCATTGGCTCACAGCAAAGGGCAGCTGTATTTTTTTTATTCTTAGCTTGTCGCTGACTATATGAAACAAAATTAGCATGAAAAGGAGCTTATCAATATCAGGTGCATTCCTTGAAAGGATAGGGGGGGGGGGGGTCGAGATGAGCCTACGCTTGCGTGTTTCCCCTTCAGTAACCTCCTCACTATACTACCCTAGTAGAAGCGGCGAACCTCTTTTGACATAATTTGTCACTATTTATTTCAATCATTTAATTTGTTGTAAGTATCAAACAATTAGGGGGGGGGGGGGGGTAGTCTAACATTCAGTATCCTTATACCCGAAAAGCAAATGTGTTTCTCATTTGCACAAAACTTTGTCGCGTTGAAAGGGCCTTGACAATAGAAAGAGGGAGCCAGCAAAAAAAAAAAAAAAGATTGAAAGGAGCGATGTGGAACGAACGCATAGGACACGTTGGACTTAAAACAATATTCATTCAATGAAGCCCACACACGAGAACGAACAGCAGCGCATGTGCAAATAGGCTATCTCAGCCATCTCATTGATAGAGTCTGAGAGTTGTGCGTCTAACGGTACATTGCCATGAAATGCCCTGAAATATCTGTGCAACGTGCAACTTTATTGACACGCAATTAATTTGGCGTTTGTCCTGTACAGCTGTTCAAAATCACCGTCTTCTATTACTCTCGCTGGTTTCCTGGTTCGGTTCGTATGAGCGAACTTGACCAACACGCTCAGATATTGAGTTTATTAAAACATAAAAAGTACTACATGCTTCTTTGAAAATAAATATGCGAAATTATATTCGTATCTTATGTTTTACAGAAAAACCTCGAGCTCCATTTTTACGCAGGGATGTCGGCCCCACAAAACGGCCCATACATAAAGTTTCAAAGGATCTGAAGACCACGTGATATTTATTCTCATCCGTATCATTGGACCTTACGTTCTACGAAGTAAATTCCCATAAGCGACCCTGAGCTTGCTTTTGGACTTACTATTTAAAAGCTTCTTTTTGGCAGCCAGTGGAAGATATATCAAGTATATAGTGGCAACGGAAAGCACAATACCAGATTGATTGGCGGATCAGGGGAGAGGCCCTTGCCCTGCAGTGAGCGTACTCAGTTTGATGATGCTGATGATGGTGATGACGATTATATATATTATGCAAGCGTATCACATCATATATAGAGCAAATAAAATACGCTTTCTTGAACGAAAATAAACAAATATATTTCATCACTGCTATCTCTTGCCTCCAAATGTGAATGTATGTACTATCAAAATATTGAAATAAACATCAAACTTCAATTATTCTGCTGTGCACTATGTAACGACATCTCTTAGAATTGTATTTCTAGTTGCATGTGCATACTCGCCTACTTACTACAGCTGCACTATTTCTTGCCGATTCTTGGAGTTGGGAGGTGCCAGACGTGAAACGGTAACAACCACAATAAAATAGATTTCCAAATCGCGTAGAGTTTCCGGCTAGTAAAACAAAAAAAAAGCTTAATGAGTCCCTGCGACACCTCTCTCAGAAAGCCTAGAATGTATTTGCTGAAGCAGTTTATTGTCTCGCGAATTTACCGCCACAAAAAACTTTTATAAACTATTGAGTACGAGTGAAGTTACAAAGATTTGTCGCGCGCTGCAATAGCTCTCTCCCTTCTCTGGTCCCGGCGAAAGCGCTGGAAGCTAACTAGAAAGGATAGCCCGGAAGGAAAATACGTCCCGCATGCCTTGCGACAATGATCAATTGTCGCCTGGTTACCTTAGCTCTTTTTTTTCAAAAGCACGGCTTTTCAGTGCTATCGCGTGCCTATGCGTAGACAAGGCACGACCTCCCACGGCAGCTTCAAATTAGCCAATGGTGATTCTAGGCCTGACGTAGGGGTTTTAAATCTGTATCGTGATTTGTCCAGAGAAGAGAAAGCTATTTTTCGCTGACTGAGATTTTATTGTAAATTTCAGGCCACGTGTTCTTCTATACCATTTCGCTCGCGTGTTCTAGGCAGCCTCGACTACCGTTGGGCAACGTTTTGTGACCATGCTCAAAAACTGTTGCAGGCCCCCTTAACATCAAAAGCAAATGTTCGCGTGGTTCCTGTGGGCTGCACATGCCTTCTTATTTACTGCTTGTCAAGCGATAATAAAAATGTAGAGTAGTAAGTGACACGTTTCTTTTTTTTTGCTTAATTTTGTCGCCCCGTCCTTGCGCATTCTTTCAACCTCAATTATTCTTATCAACATGGCACATTAGGCGTTCTACGTTTGCGTCGTACCGAGTGTTCAAGGTTAACCTTAATGGCTTCTTTATTTAGGCGCTGGAAGGCAGGCGAAAACCGCCTGTGTCAATATGTTATGGGGGCAGGAAGACACAAAGCGAGATAATTATCTTTATCAGCAGCCCAATGAACTAAATTTTAATGATCAGCTTTTTTCTGGTGGCAGTAACTTGGCTGTATTGAAAAAAAAATTGGGCAATTGTTTTTGTATACATGATATGGGGGGTTTAACGTGCCATGATTATGAGAGACGCCGTAATGGAGGACCCCGGAAATTTCAACCACCTGGAGTTTTTTAACCTCCACCAAAATCTCCCAGAGCACACGGGCCTACAGCGTTTTCGCCTGCATCAAAAATGCGGTAGCTGTAGCAGGGATTTGATCCCGCAACCTGCGGGTCAGCAGCTGCCGAGTATTTCAGTCACTAGACCACCACGGCGGGGTGGTGTTTGTGTACAGTTTTACTTGAGATATTTCTGCAGGCCTATGGTCCTAAATATCCGGCTGCAAAGTTTGTATTCCGCATGATTAGGCATGCAAGAGGATGAAGGTCAGGACGAAGACCCTCCCTTAAGGGACGCATCTGTTGCGTGCACAATGTCACCTGGAATTCAGGCTTTCAGGCATATTCACTGCTACCGTGACGTGATGCGTCTTGACCGAGCATGCCCGCCGCACAGGAGGCTGTGGATGACTGCTACCATCGTCTTCCGCGAAAAATAAAACATGGGAGGTGAGTTTAACATGTACAACTGCGTCATTTTACAGGAATGCGTCTCGCTTTGAATTTTTCAGCGATTTATTTGTAAGCAATAAATAAATCGATTGAAAAGCCTTACCTGTCCCCTTTCTTCTCCTCTGAATTTATGTTTCTAGCTTCACCTCTGTTACCACATTTCAGAAAACTTAAAAGCGCAACATATTGCAGGAAATCTGCTCCACAACTCCCTTATTGCAGAGAAGTACAAAACAGAAAATCTTTGAAGTCTCTGCAGTCATTTCAATTCGGTTGAAAACCAGCAGTACATATTGCAAGAGAAAAAAAGTTCGAACCAAGGGGCTGACGAGACTGACCCATAATTCAAACACCACTAAGAATAGTCGGAGTAGTGGTAAGAAATACTCCCTATTACATAACGGATGTACGACGTCAAGCACCTGCCATCCTTCGTTTTCTGTGCAAAATAATGAGAGGTGTTATGCAAGTCTACAGTGATGTGCGCAAATAGCAAAATGCTTTGTCATGACTGATTGTTGGCCTAATTGGTACTTGGTTAATGACATACTTCAGTCGTGAAATGTCATGAACACAAAGTAAAGAAACAAGAACAGATGACACTTCCAACTAAAGTAGACCAAGCACAAACCCAGAATCAAATATACAACACACAAGCCTGGGCAGTTTTCACACAACCTTACGCTACTAGCTATCGAAAATATTTTTTCCAATACGTACAACATCACCACTTTGTCCCTAATACACGATTCTCCTTTTTTTTCAATGTTATAGGCTTTCGTCAACTCACGCGCAGTTATATATCTTCCTTTCACTAGAATTTTGATTTCTTTACAACTGAATCACACTTGCAGGCTTTGCAATGCATAGGCAAATGCGCCAAACCATATTTCATTAGATTTAATTCATGCTGCTTGAATAGGTTATCAAAACAGCGTCCGCTGTGCCCGATGTACGAGTTGCCCCAAGAAAGGGGAATTCGATAAACCACGCCTTTTGCACATTTCTTGTATGTCGTGCCATGCATCTTGCTGCATCCCTGATGGCTCGCCTCCTCCTGAGCAGTTCTCGGACACAGCTGCAGCAAATTTTATGGGCACGGAAAACAGGATGGCTACCTCATAACAGCCTGTTACCTTTTTTCAGGTTGTTGGAGACCTTAACATAAGAAATCACTGCAGGTATTGTAGTTTATGTTCCGTGTTCTCCCATGGCAGCTCTACTTTCTCTCTTCACTTTCAGCAAGATCGCTTAGGAGACAGCCCCCGCCTCGGCAAACGCACTCTTGAAAAGCGCGACATCTACGCATTTTCAAGCATTGTCTCCGGATGCTACGTTGTCGCGGGTGCGAGTGCCAGCAATGCTCGTCAAGAAGTGTCTAATGTCAGCGCCTCCGTCAACAGCTAAGGCGCGCACACATGACATGATGTCACAGAAAGAACCGAACATGCAATACAGTTGGTGCTTTTCACACTCAAAAAGCAAGCAGTATAGACACACACATACCTTCAAATCACGGATTGAAAGCATATGGATGAACGGGATGCACTCCGTTGAACGAGATACTCATTTCGCTTTCCCGTCATCCTTTGGCAGTGAAAACACTCGAACCTTCAGCACACAGCCAGTATCGCCGACACTCAAGGGCTCGCATCACTGCCCTATTACGAGGGCTTGCAGGTGTACACTACGCGAACATTACGCGAACGAAGCACATCACCACGCAGCACTTCACATACGCATGGCCATCTTCATGCACTCGCCATAAAAAACACCAGCACTCAGCGACAGGCCACATCAGGCTTAGTAATCATGCCATCTCGAACGGCGGTAGCGTACATGCGCACGTCTACTCCGCAGGAAAACACGGGCTAAAACTGAGTGACGTCAGACGCCATGCCTGGAGTAGCGAGCAGGCCTGAATTTTTCGCTAGGCGGCATTGGCGTGTGGCGTTTAGGCTGGTAAGAGGGTGGAAGCGTAGGCAGTGGTAATAACAGTTACCCTTGCCCTTTTGGCCAGTGAAATCGAAAATAATGAACCCTTGCAACCAGTACCGAACACGCAATCGCAGAGCCAGTAACAGTGATGAGCCTAATGACAGTTCCATGCCGGCATATTGGTGTGTGTTGCGTATCCGGACACCAATGCGCGTGCGTAACAATAAATAGAGAAGCGTGCATGATCCTTGCCTGGACTACACAAATAGTGTGACTGCTCATGACCGAGTACTGTAAGCCCCATATTATAGAACGTCCCTTTACTCAACGTTTCACCATCACTTGAGAAAGCCGATGGGAGCGCCGTCTCTAGTCATGGCAAGTCACTGCATATAAGCGATAATCAGCTGCGATTCTTGAGTGGCGCAGAGTCATTTTTTAGCCGAGCTGTGGCGCAGTGCTCAACTGTGTCAAGTGAGGGTGAAAATCGAGTCGAGGGGCGTTTGTGAATACAGCGGTAACTTTTATTGAAATCAAGAGCAACAACGGCTACTTTATTAGCTGAAACATTTTTATCTTTGCTGACGCATATTTCCTACTGCTAAATAAGCTTATTTGTATGCGAAAATTTCAAAACAATTCATTATTCAAGGCGTCAGTGCCCCAAAAAGTGTTTAAAATATCTACCTGCCGCAGCAATGCGAAGTATGAAACACCAGCGCGTCGACACGACCACTCGGCGCAGTACTTCTGAAACAATACTCGCACAGGCAGATGTTATCCTGCCTTTCGTATCATTAACATCACTGGGCTTTGTTACATAAACTTGATCTTGAACCTAGCCCAAAGAAAAAATAAGTCAAGGGGAGAAACTTCAGGCGACCTCTCTGGCCAAAACATCGCTTTTGTACGCCCAATCCTTTGTTGTGGAAAATGTCTGTCCAGCAAGTTCTTCGCCCTGGTAGAGATATGTGGTGGTACTTCATCGTACTGAAACCATGCTTGGCGCAGGTCATTCAAGGCATGGTCACAGACGAGTTCATCAATGACAACACGTAATACTTCTGCCGTGTACAACCTTCCGTTCAAGTTGTCCAAAAAAGTGAGGTCCGACAATTGTGTACCCGAGTATGCTGCACCAGACAATCACTCTTCAATGAATTTGATGCTTGTGCTACTTCAACTATAGCGTGGGTTTTCTTCTGTACAATAATGGCCTTTGTGAAGATTAACACTTCCATTGCGGCCAAACGAAACTTCATCAGTCGAAGTTATTCTGCGCAATATTCATATCCTCGATTATTTTTGATGAGGCCCCAAATTGCTGAAGTCAATTCGCTGTTCGAATTCCTTCTCTTTTATGTCCGGATGAAAGCAAACGTGATATGGTTGGAACTTGTCTTTTCTTAGCACATTTGTGACTGTTCGGACGCTGCGACTGCACTGATGGGAAATTTTCGGATTCTGAGCTCTGGTAGCAAAGTTACACATCCTACAACATTCGTTGCAGTCTCCATCGAGAATTGCTTTCCTGGCCCGTGTCGGAATGTAGACGGAGCCTACTGTGTACTCGTCGAAATAGGTTTATGAAAGTGGACCCAGTTGGAGGGTCCATTGCCAATGAAGCGTTGCCATTCAATTCAGTAACCACGTCGAGCTTTTCTTTGGTAAAATACCTCGCACCAGAAGCAGCCTTATTAGCTCGAAAGGACTCCAGCTGGATTTGCTTGGTAATCTTTCAAAGCAGAGTACCTGTGATACCACAAGTAGCTGGTACAGGACAATCAAAAGAGCGGCGGGTGAAGCAAAATAAATATTTTAACGTCAATGGGCTTGACGTGGTCTCCTGGCGCGCACTTCAGACAGACAGACAGACAGACAGACAGACAGACAGACAGACAGACAGACAGACAGACAGACAGACAGACAGACAGACAGACAGAGAGTAAACATTATTACCACACTTCAGTTCCGAAAAAAAGTAGAAGAAATCTACGTTTGCTAATCAGTTCAAACGAGGTGCCCTAAAATTCGGCGCATAGAACAAACACATTTTAACCTAGCAAAAAATATGGCTTTCTAACGTACCGCGGGAATCCCCATGACTGATATTCGCGCTACCTAATAAGCCTTACTTTTTTACATCAGCGACATTGAGAAGTTAGAATCCAGCAGGCTGATTTATATGTAGGTTTTAACGTCCCAAAACCACCACATGATTATGAGAGACGCCGTTGTGGAGGGCTCCGAAAATTTCGACCACCTGTGGGGCTCGTGCAATCAAATTTGAACACACTGGCCTACAACATTATCGCCTCCATCGAAAATGCAGCCGCCGCAGCAGGGATTTGATTCCGCGACCTGCGGGTGAATCCAGCAGCAGCATACGTACACAATTTTTCACTAAAATGGAAAGGAGAATGAAGCTTTATTGGAAACTCATTTTTTACGGACCCTCTAGCAACGAAATTCATCTACACTGCAGGACTGCAAAGAAGGCTTGACTTTCTTCAGAACAGTCATCAGCCATCGAATAATCTGATCTGCAGTAAGGCGTGTAGGGATTTTGCATGTGTCATCGAACATTCCCGCCACCCCCTTCGAGGACTCGTTGGAATAAAAATAAATTGTTCACTTCATTTTGCGGGGCAATATAACGAAATAGAATAATCTTGATCGTTCAATATCACTTTCAAGCACGTTCAAGGCAGTGGCAGTGGTTATATTGTTATGAGACAATGTCCCACAAAAGTGGTTAGATAGGCGCGAAAAGAGACGACGTGATTTTGGTGTAGGGCACAGCACTCGTTCTCCATCTTGGCTTGTGCGTTGGCGCTGTGTAAATATATCTTCAAGCGCCTAGTTTCGCGTATACCTTCATGTAACATTTTAGTGAAAGGTGCTGGGTTACAACGCACGACGGAGTTACGCAGCGGACGCCTAGTCGCTGCTTAGGACATGTCCACTGGCAGCAATGCTTCGTCAACTGCCGTGCCCAATGCATCAACGGCGCCGACCTCACCTGTTTTTCTCGTGGCCGCTCCACCCCAAGATCCCGGCAGCTTTTCAGGAACAGAAGGCAAGGACGTGGATGAATGGCTTAAACTCTACGAACTCGTCAGTGAAAACCCCAGGTGGGACCCAACGTTGATGCTGGCAAACATCATCTCTTATTTGCAAGGAACGGCCAAGGCGTGGTTTAATAACAATGCGGACGCGATCACGAGCTGGGACGTATGCAAGACCAAGTTACGCGAGTTGTTTGGTCAATCTGCCGGCTGCAAGCAGGCCGCTAGAAAAGAACTTGGCACACGTGTTCAGACGTCCATGGAGTCCTACCTGGCGTGTATACAAGAGGTGCTGACCCTTTGCCTTAAAATTTACCGAACCATGAAGCAGACAAGGTAGCGCACGTGCTCAAAGGCATCGCAGACGATGCATTTAACCTTCTTGTGCGCAGAGGCTGTTCTACCGTACAAGATGTTACCTCGGAGTGCCAACGCTTTAAAGAAGCTAAAAGCTATCGCATTGCCCACCACTTCAAGCGTCTCCACAACACTGCTGCGACGTCAACTTGCGAGGATCTTCGTATAGCGACCCAGCTAAATTGACACTCCGGTGACATCACGAGAATCGTACGCCGCGAAATCGAAGCCATATCACCCGCACTCTTGGGAGCACTAGCACCGAGTGATCCTCATCCGACCATTTCGCTAATACAAACCGTTGTTCGCCGAGAACTAGCCAACGCGGGTATTCGTGCAGTCTGTTCTGTGCACCGTCCCGACGCTGTCAGTTCGTCTACCTCCAGCCACACACAGCATCATCGCCACCCTGCTCTACGTAACCGTGACCCAAATGCGTGGAGGGCGCCTGATGACAGGCTGATCTGCTTTCGATGTGAACGAGTAGGACACATTTCCCGCCAATGCCGAAGCACGTGGACCTCACCGTATCGGGCAAACTCAAGCTTCTCGAACCTCCACTCACCAGCCCATCTCTATGGCCAGGAACTACCACGACGTGATGGCTCAGCTAATTACGACCCGACCACGGCGACCACTGCCCAGTACCGTCGCTCACCTTCACCTCGACGTAGATTTTCCCGGTCTCCGCCGCCGCCCCGTTCCCCGTCCCCATCCACTGCCCGGCGGTTTTCTTCAGAAAACTAACGGCTGCAGTTCCTGGAGGTGACGCTGCTGATATGACTTGCTGTCCAATTCGTCTGTTGACGCTGCCAACCAATCAAAACCTGATCGACGTTGAAGTGGATGGTTTATCTGTTAAAGCCTTGTTGGACACTGGCGCCCATATTTCTGTGATGAGCTTGCACAATCGTGACAGCTTAAAGAAAGTCCTTACTCCAGCCCCTTCACGCAGTGTTCGTGTGGCTGATGGTGGTACGCCTTCTGTTTTTGGCGTCTGTACTGCACGCGTCACTATCGCCGGTCGTCAAACTTCAGTTCTCT